ATTTGCTTTCTTGCCGCACACCGTATCGTTCCCGTCATCATGACCAGAATTCAGGTGAAATATACTGTACTGGTAAGAAAGAAACCAAACAAGTTGGAAAACGTGTTGTATGAACAAAATGGTAATGTAATTTCCGCCGCAAAAGTATAAAATAATAAAAGCAAACATACAGCATACATACGGGCTGGCTGTCTGGTGTTTATCACTAGCAACACGCCTTTAGGTCTATCATTGAGCGATTTTATTAGATTGATGTTAACTTGCAGCAGGGAAAGACCAACTTAGATCAACCTGTCAATTTTCCTGTTATTATGTAAACAGAGTTTAAGGATATGGTGCAGAGGTCCTGCGATATATGCCTACCTCAACTAACATTATGACAGCATGAACAGTGATGAGGTAGACTTCCCTAGATCATAATGATAAACAAGTGATAATATTATTTAGTAGATTTTGATAATAAAAATAATAAGAATAATAAATATATAGTAATACATTTCTTTATAGGCCATTAGACCTACAAAAATGTCTCAATGCTCATACATTAAATTTAGCTGAGAAAAAAATAAATAAAAAACTCATTAAACAATTTAAATAAAGCTCAAAATAAGCAGTCCTAAAACAAACAAAAAAGAAAATATTTAAGCCTACCTCAATCTGCAAATAATTCTAATAATACAAAATCACAAATGCTCCTTTTAAAATTTTTCATTTCATTTGTTATATATTGACATCAAAAATTATGTAATTAAAATGTATGGGTGATTTTTTGTGCGAGAAGTCAACATCCTATGAGGATTCCTTTGGAACAGATACCAGTGCGTTACAAATGCTTAATATTATTATTAAAAAAGAACTGCTTAGCTAATTCTCTTGGCCTATGTCAGTAAAATTAATGTTTGAATATCATTACAAAGCATGAAGTTGCTATCGATATATCTTCCACTACTAAATATGTATACATTTAAGGCAAAACAACTATGTATTGTTAGAGTAAATTTTATAAACATTTCATACTACTAGAGAAATGCTCAGAGGTATTATTATAACAGTACAAATGCGTAAAAGCTTAATAACACGATAATGGTAAATTAAATGGTCAATTTCACAATGTCAATTATCACATTTAAAATATGATTCATGTTAAAAGACAAAAAAAATAATGTTTGCAAGATGCATACAATTATCAGTAATTTTACAAAAATTTATTTTCATCAAAATGAATACACACTGTAAGGGAAAGTTTACAAAATTAGAATAATTTTCAAATTATACAATCACAAATTTTTTTCATAATTTTTATCAGAGTTTTCCAAGACAACATATGTTGCATCAAGTTATATGGAATGTGACAAGCGAAGTCAAACTGAAACGTCAATAAAAATATGATGCAATATCTCGCACGGTACCAATTCTCAGGACATATTCTGGTTCCTCTTGAGTACTACTTCAAATAACGATATTGAACAGAAGTGCCATCATTAAGTGTTAACTAATTGACTGACTGATTGATGTTTCGTCTGTAAACTTATGTCACGGACATTCGGACATGTTTGATTGCACATGCAAGTACCATCAATCATATCCGACTGTCAAGGGAAGGTAAATCCTATGGTCAGGAAAGGGGGGGAAAGCAATGTAAAAAAAAATGAAACTATTTGACCAAAATATGTATTTAAATAGGTTAGGATTCGATGTCGAATTACGAAACATGTATGCTTGACACTTGACCTCTGACGAAGTGTCTCCAAAATAGCTACAAAATGTAAAACGATACTGACAAATTGATTATTATTATTGTTTATTTTCAGAAAATATTTTAGCCGCTCTGATTTTCTTTCACTATTCTTCCATATTCGACGTTATTTTTGTTCATAATTAACAGATTACTTATATATATTCTTAAAGAAGCTTATTTTTAAATTACACTTTTTTTACATTTTAATGCCTAGGGCCTGTATTTAACATTTTTCTATCTTTGTCAATTTAAAGTCGAAGGTATGTCCTGGTTCCTGACCCTTTTATGTTCACTTTGGATAGCCTTATCTTCATAAGACTTCTACGAATGGATACCTTGTTCAAAGCAAGAAATCAAGTTGTCTTTACCCAGTACTGCTCGTCTATTTTATTCGTGTGTGAAATTTTTAATCTGTATTCGTATATAAACTCTACTTTTTCTAATACAAAAGTACTAAGATATTTGGAAATTTTCTTGAAAGAAATTTTTGCTTAGTAGTCTATTCACACTTTACTTGCGTTCGCACCAAATCACATTTAATCCCAATCCACAATCGTGTGTGAAAAAGCTTATGAATGGCAATCCATATTACGATTTTCACCTGTTGCGAAAGGGTGCCACTATTTTTTTTTTTAACTCTCAATCACCATAGAGTTTAATTGCAAATAATTCAACAGGCAGATTGGTCGTGTCCAGTCAACATGAGCCAATCAGTAGGGTTGTTTACAATATTGCCAATGCAATTTTGGTACATCTGAATATACCCAAATGTTGCTATTGGTAACAAACGTATAATTTTGGATAACCATCGTTTAGTCGCAACCAATCATATCGGAAATCTTGTCAGAATAAGGTATAAAAAAAAACAAAAAAAAACGAGTGTTTAAAATTAAAAAGATTATTGTTAAAATTACCAAATGTCAGAGGTTACAAATAAAGGAAAAAATGCTATCTCATAAAAAAAACTCCACATCATATTCACAATATCAATTTTCAACCTATCCAGCAGACCTTCCTATCCTATCCAACAAAGCTCACACCATATTCAATAGCCATCACCTAGTCATACAAACATTCACCACATTCAACAACTTTCCCCATTCATTCAACCCCACCCCATTCAACAAAACTGCCCACCCAATCCAACAACTCACCTTTCACCTTAGCCAATAACCTTTCCCCATTAAATCAAGAATTTTATGAAGAATGTAAAGGCTAATGGCTTATGAAGTAAAGGTGTATTAAAGTGCAAAAAAAGGTCTTCGGTGACAGTTATACTAGTTAAAGCTTCAATAAAAATGGTCTTAAAAATGTCTTCATTGATTTTCATTTCGAAGTGGTAAAGAAAAATAATGCAACAAAATTTAGGGTGTGCAGGTGCTCGATCAATCAATTCATTGATTTAATTATTCTCATCATAAATGAAAGATGATAATAAAGTAAGAATACAGCAGTTAATTTACTGGTATTTTAGGTCAGCAATACAAACAAAAGTTATGGGCGGTAATTATCAAAAGAAATACGACACTTACAGTCTAGACCTAGTTGGAGATTCTATGTATCCATGAAATTAATTACGTTAGGAGAGCTTCTAAAACAATGGGTATCGCAGGGCTACTGCTGGGATCACCGTGCTAAACATGGATAACTGGTGGGGAGCTAGCTAATTAGGATTGTCTGTCTTTAACAGGAATCGCTCAGTTGCAGCGTCAATCAATTTTTTCAATAAATAAGCGAAAATCACACTATTTAATTTGCGGTATTGGTTCCGGTCGTAAAATTTATTGGCAACCTACTGAAGATGCCTTCGTGCTTCCTGTCTAAGTGCACAGGTTTCAGACCTACGATAAAGGCTGCTGGAAACATCGTGACTAATATTAATTGGCCTTCAGTATCATAATGATCTGTCTGGTCAAGTTTAAATAGTTCCAGGGTCCTGCTGTGACAAAGGTTCAGAAGACAGTATCGACAACAATGGACTAAAGGGTGCTTCTTTTCCCACAAGTTAAAACAGAATAACTTTAACCTGTGTGAAAGCATGTGTCCTTAGGGTCCTGGCTGCTTCTTCTTCCAGGTAGATGTCTAATTTGATAGTTGCTACCTTAAGGTGTGTATTTACCACTGCTGCAGGCATGCTTTCCCACCTGTAGACCACGGCTAACATTGACGAGATGCAACATCTTTTAATTGCTGACAAAACATGCACCATACCGGTCCGACAGCCTCCACATGTGCCTGTTACTATTTTCACCTACGGCTGTGCTTAGAGTTCATTGAAACCTACAACTATTTCCGTTACTATATTCACGCTATGGTAGCATTTGCAAAGTATCAACATTACATCATCATTTGACAATTTTTGTTGCCTACCAACTACTACTAATATTCATGTATTAGGCATTCGTATAGAAAAAACATCAAATTTTTTTTTTAAATGTTTCTCTTTTGCCTTTACTGTATATTTTTATGATGGAGCAAGGGCAGTTTACTGTTTGGGCTCGTGCCTATTCCTTGCTCCTGGCAAGATTGTACTTTTAATTTGCCAAATAAATAATATTATTATTATTATTATTATTAAATATTGCAGTGCTGAAAAATTGCCATTTGATTTAAAAAGGAGCCCCCAAAAAATTGTCCCAATTTCGTGCTCAACGGTTGTGGGATTATATCAGATTACATATGAATATTTTCACCAGTTAAAAAAAATACAAAATTTACAAGTTGATCACATCAACATAATTTTACAATTAGAGATGTATCGTCAGGTCACGCCAATCTTGAGACCCAATTTAATTACAACGTAGGACACTGTTCAATGATTTCATCTCCTATACAAATATTACTACCGGTGAAAAGAAGAAGGATGACAATGGAGGTTGATTACGTTAATGAAAGTGGACAATTAACAAGGAATACCTCTCAATTTAAACCATATCTTCTTACGTAGCATTTTGCAACTAACCTATTGTCCGTGGAATTATCCACCTTCCCAATAATTAAGACACTGTATTCGCTGACGCGCGTACAAATGTATACCTTAGAAGTGTAGGTGTAGTCAAGAGTACATTGATTGGCCTTCTCGACGCTTATTGCAAAACAATCTTTATCTATTGTAGTAATTCAAAACCGTCGTGATGGATCCCGTTATCACTTCATTACGTCGCAAAATACAGACTGCAAAAATTTTCATCAAATACCTCAGGAATCAACTGTCTGATATTGACATTTGTTGTTTTAACTATGTTAAAATTATGTTAAATAAGAAATAATAATGACAAATTGGCAGAAAAATTTTATTGCAATAATTTAAATACTAATCAATTATTAAAAAAAGGTACTTGCAGTCCAAATTAATTGCACAACTAAATGGAACTTTCATCGCTACCATAGTTTATACTTTAATAAAAATTACTTGGGCTTAAAAAGAAAAATGCTTTGTCATAAAGTGATGAAAAAAACAACACATCAAAATCAATGATGTGTCTTTAATAAACCGGGGAAAAAACTGACAAACACATATTTTCAGGAAGATAATGAATTCAATATATAATAAGCATATTCTCCCTGATGAACTGGCCAATTAGCAAAAGACCCTCGCATGTTAGTAGGACAGTGGATGCAAGCTTACAGGACTTGTAATTCGTTCAGGTGTTTCGTAAAGATAGCCTTAGTTTCCTGTGCGGATTACCTTCAGTCACACTGTGCCGTGATACTGCTGCGCACCAATAGTGTTCTCAGGCTTCTCGAGTTAATTACTCTGGGAATAAAAAAAATACTACTGAACTGAAACACAAGCAAATCAACCTCATCCAGGAAGGGGGGTTTTAACAGTACAATAGGTCATAAGATCTGACCTCTTTTTCACCTTCTTCCTTAGGTGTCTATCTATATTCTGTCCCAGAGTATTCCTCTGAGACATAGCAGTCAATCCCTCAGGCTGTGACAAGCCTGTGACAGACAATGATAAATTATGTAAAAATCATTGTGGATGTTTTAAATTACACGGCAAAAGTAATGTAACCCACTTGGGACAGGTACAGAATAGACATCATATAGACAGGATTCTAAACTCATTCATTTATTTTTCATGTTTGTATCTACAATAGTTTCCTGTTTTTGAATTACACAGTTCCTATAATATTAAACTGCTTACATATTGTTTACTCAGTTTTGCAAATTATTTCAACTTGTAGAAGTGGTTGGCGCATCGGTTGTGGCTTGGACTCCCAACCTCGAGGTCGGGGGTTCGAAACTCTCGCTGTGCAAATCGCTTGTGTCCTTGGGCAAGACACTTTATCTACGGTTGCCCCTCTCC